AGTTTCCCATTATACGTTCATATGCGTTAACATACACGTATTTCATGTACCAGATATTTAATGCCCAGGAAGATCATCTGTTGAGGTTTTGTGAAACTTTAGAGAGCATCTGTCTGCAGAATGCACGAACAAAACGGTCTTCATATGCGGAGTTCCACTGATCAACTTATTTGCGTCATACCGAGTACATGTAATGACAATTACGTGCCCTTATATCAAAACTACGGACAAGCCCTGTTTTGTGACGCATTTTCCCACATATGGCAACGTTGTAAAACCCAGCGGGGGTGTTCTTTCCAGCTTTTTTGATTTCTTAGGTCCTGGATTATCTCAATCAGGCACAGAGAACGTACCTACTAGTAGTTCCTAAATGAGAGCGAGTTTTTGGCGTGTCTCGCTTGCCGTAGGTAGTACCCCGTTTCTTTACGCTTTATCACATAGACAAAGTCCTAATTAAGAACAAGGCGGCCACCACCGAGCGTCTACGACATGACCTTGGAAGAGTGGAAACGCGGGCCGTCTGGAATACTATTAAAATGATACTCTACACAACTAAAATCTCTTAAGAAGTCATGGCGTCCGTCAATACGTTAAATCTATAGTGCAGTCCTCAAAAGGTTGCACCGCACCGGAGGGGGGGGGGAACCCCTCCGCTCCTATAGCAAAGTTTTTGACTACATTTTTATCTATATCTGATCTCTATTGAATCAATAATTTGTCGTACAATTAAATTTTGTACAATCAAAATCTGTGGTTACTGTCCTTTGTTAACCAGAACCATATGTCCTTTAGCATTTATTGCTAAAAACTATACAATCAGTCACATTAATCTAACTTATGAAATAACACATCAGTTAGTCAATTAATCTCAAATGTAAGTATGTAAAACATGTTGTAAACGGTGATTGACCATGTCAATCCCCCTGTTTGGGTCATAAAGGATCTAGCTAGATTCTTACACAGTAAACGTATTAATAATCTTTCAAGTGTAGAGACAAACAGCTGTTCTATTTCTCCTAGAGGTATACTCCAGGAGAAGATTCCATGACTTAGCTTTGCTCGATATTGATTGTAATAATTACCGTAATCACAATGACGTACTAGTTTTTCGGTCGGTTTTTAGATCAAATAGTGATTCTGTTGATAGAATGGATAATAATAAACTAGCTTTCACCCCCGACTTTGCCCGTGTGTTTCTACCAAGGGAGCATTTAATCGGGATAAAAAGCATCCTATCACCTCAGTCGGACTATACCCTGCCTGTATACCATATTTCTAAAGCTTAGATCCAGTCCAATGGACTAAGCATACCATAAGAGGCATAACTTAATAGCGTAAGCTGTAATGTTGTGTCAATTTTGGAAATAATGCAAATTGTTATAGTTTTGTTTTATTAGACGTAAAATTAAACCGGCATAGAAAACTGTAATTGCGGTCAGGATCAAGTCCCTTTTTGGTGGTAACCGATATTAAGGTATCAGTAATCCCCCAAGACATCCTGAGGGTTTCAGATCAGCTGTGACTTGAAAAATTTGAGTGGATAGTTATCCTTTTGAGGCGATCCTAAGATGTGTGTGCCTTTGTATGTCACCTTTTTATTCAATCCAGTCAATCAGAAAATTAGAAACGAGGTAATAAAATACCTCAGAAATATATAACATCTGTTTTTGTTCAGATCAAATACAATTATTATTGAAAAATTAAAAATAACAGGTTTTCTATTCAATGCCTTTCATCAAAACATGTATATGTTTTTACTTAGTTTTTCTATTCTGTGATTTTACCACATCATACCAGGTAGTACGAATGCGGTCAACGCAGTCATACTACCTCACATTGGCGTCTGTCACTTCCACCAGGCGATAACAAACACGTCTCAATTAAATAAGCTTCGAATAACGGTCAAGTCAAATTAATGGAAGCGTTTTACCTACCAATAAAACGCATATTAATTTACTTACCTTATTCGAAGCTTATAGTCAAGCTCTGCCTGGTAATGAGACTCAATGAAATAAAAATGGCGAGTCTCGCTTAGCAAGACTCCCCACCACTGCCAAGTGGAAGTGACGTAGTAGAAAGAGATAGACATATAGAAAAAGCGGAAGGAGGGAAGCAGAAGGCCTATCTCAATTAAATAAGCTTCGAATAACGGTCAAGTCAAATTAATTATCTAATTATGTAGATATGTGTATTGTTAAAAATTAATTCATTTTTAAGCATTTGTTCATAATTATTTGCAAGGACTGTAGTTTTTGAAGAGATAAGCTGGAAACAGCTATGTTTGTTGTATTAATAATATTATTTTTATGTCACAATTAGTTATCGTCAGCCTGTGTTATGTTAGTAGTACTGATAAGCCAGGATGGAAGATCGGTCGAGTATGCTCTGCGATCAAACGTCAACCACCGAAAACCGTGGTTTATATACACTAACAAATGATTTAGTAATTTAGTACGTATAGAGTGGTAAATTACATTTTTCACTAAGTAGTCGCCCGAAGCATGGTAGATTGTAGAAATGAGTAAAGGCTCGTAGGTATACAGTTTGTGGTACAATATCTCTGACAGTCGTTACTCTAGTCTGGAAGTAGCAAACGAGCAGACAGTCTGCCGGGTATACCTACAGCATAGTATGTTCCGTATGTATACATGAGTTACGTGACTTGTATTGTTGCAGAGCGAGGTGACGACACAAGAGTTGCAGGCCGCGTTCGAGAGCGAGCAGGAACCGCTGCAACTGGCACAACTCGCCCTCGCCAGGCTCACGCAAATATTTGAAAAAGGTACCTTTATAATTTCATTGTATATCCTAGCATTTTTTCCACTGTTTGGGGCTTCTATTCTAGGGCTTCATTTTATCATGAAAGTACATATTTGCATTGGTAAGTATATTAAGAAATGTACCTAATACCTACTATTACATCATGTAACATCCACTTTTCAGATTTCATCCGTTATGTTATGACTATGAGTTTGAGTGTGTACAATTTCAGACTCCGTGATATCACTGTTTTTTTATGTTAACCGAAAGATCCCCCTGCCCCCATACCCAATTTTGCCTGAACCGGAAGTCGAATCCAAATCCTGTATATTTAGATTAGATATGCAGGGAGTCTATTATATTTGTGTGGTTTGTTATAGTGCAAGAAAGATGTGAAGCCGAGAGGAGTGACATGCGGGAGCTGGGCGCGGCGATGAGCGGGCTGGGCGCGGCCGCCGGATCCGGTGCCGACCCGCAACTGGCCGCCGCCGCGCAGTACGTGTCTGCGGCGGGCGCGCGTGACTGTGTGTGTGTGTAGGGCGGCGGGCGCGGCGGGCCGCGAGCCGGAGCCGGCGTGGGATGGAGGCC